TAGAGGATGTTAGACCCAGAAAAGCTAACACTCATGAAGGTAACTGTGGGGAAAAATCCAACGGGTCAGATCTGTCCTGAAACACTCTTTCCTGTCTGAAAGCCCCTCTCAGAATAAGGGCTTCATCATCAACGTTATTTAAAAATGATCACATCATTGTAAAGGATGATGTATTTGGAGCTACTTATGGTTTGACTCCATTAACAACATCTTTGCTTCTTTATCAGTCATTTCTCAAATCACATAAACACTGTGAGTCTGTTAAAGGTCTTTCTGTCAAACTTAGAACAACAGAGTATTCAGAAACATATACAAACAGTAACAATGCTCACATGGAGAATTATAACATTTATAATGATAACCATCATAATGTTAAAATAATAATAGTACCTGACTGAATGTCAAAATGAATCAGTGGTGTTTTATTGCATAAAATGTTCAAAACAGACAGAAGCAGTGAAACACATTGGTTTCTGATGGGTGTGAGCACTGACTGAACAGATAAGACACCAGGTTTTAAGGGCCAGTATTATGTGTTTCACAGGCATATATTTAAATACTATACCGTAATAAAGTATCTATGTCACTTTTAGCTGTTATTAAAATGCTGTTTTTATGTTTAAATAGAAAATAAACTTATCTTCTCATCACTTCCTCTAAACGCCTTGAAATTGGCCTCTGTCTCGTTAAGAACCACCTTCTGCTTCTGTCCCGCCCATTTCAGMGCCTGGGGGTTCGCGCACGGGCTATGATGCAGTTTACTTGGCATCTGAAAATACATTTCCTCAAAGGTATTTTGAAGCTGAAAAGAGCTTAACTGAGTGAGCAGTAGTGATAAGAGCAGCGGACAGTTTAAGTTTCACTTTCACTTTCACTCATTTGCTTTGTTACTGTCGAGAGCCTGCAGGAGTCATGGGCGGGATGTGTGGTGGGGAGGTGTGCTGTGTGATAATGAAGCTCGGCATGGAGACACAGCCCAGAGGAGGAGCTGGTCTTAAAAGGTGTTTCTTGTCACAACCAGTTGATTTTGCTCCCCTGCCTGGCTGCCTCAGGACACTACAGGATTTCTCAAACATGCATGAATGAGTCAACGCAAGACTTTGGGCATGTTTTCGATGAGAGGATAACACTATAACATGATATAAAACTCAAAAAAGTAGATTTTACATGATATAGCCCCTTTAACTAAGCCTGGCTGTTAGCTGCACAGGATAAATCAACATATGCACCACTGCTGTTGTGAAACTGAATCGAGGCTTAATTCAGCCAGGATATCTGGAAAATCTCGGCTTGATCCGCTATGCTGGTTTTGTGAAACAGCTCTCAGGTAGTTGAAAACATGAGTCTGATAAAGTTTTTTTTTTTTTTTAATGAAAACAGGGCAGAGGTCAGAGCTCACCTTCCTCTGTGTGGAGTTTACATGTTCTCCCTGTGCATGTGTGTTAGGTTCATTACTAACTCCTCTAAGCTGGGAGTTAGTGTACTGAAGTTACCGATTAGTTACTAAATCAAGCTGATTGTGTTGTTAGCTTGATTCAAATCTGCAAAATAAATAAATTAATAAAAAAAACATGCTGCTAACACGCATGTTACCTCAAACACCACACATTACTGTAGGTTGAAATAAGTGTATTTATCATAAAAAGGAAAAGTAACAAAAATTCCATTTGGCATCCATCCATCCATCCATCCATCCATCCATCCATCCATCCATCCATCCATCCATCCATCCATCCATCTATCCATCCATCCATCTATCCACTCCATTCTGTGTGGAGCTGGTGCTTTACTACTGGGGTTGGGTAAAATTGTATCATGTGACATTAATATAAAAAAAAACCTGTCAATGTTTGCCTATTTTCTTCACATTACTGCAGTTAGTGTCGTGTGTTGTGAGGGTTAGTGAGTGTATTTTTGTGCGTGACTCACTCTCACTACCAAGCATTCGTGTGAGTCTTTGACATGTTGTTGCTAAAAAAACATGCTGCCCCTCCACATTGTGGAAACACTAGCTGTGTTTCCATTGACCATGAAAATGCGCAAATTAGAATTTCGAAAATAAATTTGCTCAATGGAAACACGTCAATTTTAAAAAAAGTTCCTTTTTTTGACAAAAGGTTTTTGCGCTAGGATGAGGTGGTTTTTCGGCCGTATCGAAATTGGTGTATTTCGCAAAACTGCAATGGAAACACTTTTTTTGCATCATAGGAGTCACGTGATCAAGAATCGGCTGTTTCTACTGGCGAAAAAGACAATGACGAAGAAGAGAACAGGATGTAGAAGTAGTAGTAAAGTCACCGAAGTTGTAAAAGAAAGCAGTAAACTCACCGACTACAATTTCCCAAAAACGTTGCATACGTAGCCGCTCCTAAGTATAAGGGGCTTGTCGCTCGAAAACCTCGATAAGACGCCAACGTCTCCTCTGATGATGAGCGCTAATGTCATGGTAGCAATATGCTATTTGTTTGCATCCATTGCCGCCATGTTTGTAATGACTTATGCGAGAACAAACGTACTTGCGCGTGACTTTAATAGCATTTCTTACTTGATGGAAACGCTGCAGTTGCGAAACTGTTTTTCGACATTAACAGAATATCGACAAAGTTTTGCGCACATTTGCAATGGAAACGCAGCTAGTGGGTTTCAGATCACAGCTGACTATTTTAACCTGTTGAATAAAGAAGTTAATTGAACTGATGGTTTGTCGGTATAATTTTAGAACACAGGCTAACTGATTTATAGTCAAAAACATGCAAGTGTAATTATATTAATCATTGTTGGCTAAAAGCACCAATTTATTATTTATTTTTTTGCCAAAACTTTGTACACTCAGTCCATCATACGGACACATGACAACCAAGCATTCACACTCTAACTCTCAGCTATAGTGTTGACATTGTCCTAAATCTACCAGACATTTCAACATTTTTAAAACATTTAAACATTATGACGTTTGTCAAGAAATGAAGATATTCCTTCACACATCCGACATTACAATAAGGTGTTGTACAAAATAAGACACGTCATTGTTGTGTCTATAAATTAAATGTGTTTCTGTCAGTCGGGAAGTCGTATTTAATATCCAAGAACTCGGGCACATTGTTCACCATAGTGTCACTTTTATTTCAACTTTACATTAAACTGTTCAGTCCAACACGAAGCTCACAACAGGAAATAAAAGAAACAAAAAAAGAACAACTAAAAACAGAAACAATCATTTTTTAGGGTTTAAAGGCACAGTGTGTAGGATTTGTTATTTTCAGCGACTTCTAGTGGTTGAGTGGTTGAATCATCCTCCCTGGTCCTCCCCCCACCCCCACCCCCGCTTTCAAATGCAAAGGAGTTGCTACGGTGTCTCTCAGGTGTCAAAAACCTTTGATAATTCCAACCGCGATGTCTACCAGCAGCTTCAGGGCTAGTGATGTTTCAAGTGGTAAGATTATGAGCTTTAATAAGTAAAATTATCCCAGCTATCCCAGAACCCGTCCAGGGGACCTATACAATTTTTTTTCCTTTGATTTTTTACCTGGATTACTGAGATGCATCAGGATATCCCAGCTACAATGACAGACAACAAATATTACATTTATATTCCAGGGTGGAAATTAAAAATTTCCCCACCAGCCACAATGGCTGATAGAAAAATTTTTGTACCGGCCACTCAAACTTTTTACCAGCCACTTTTTTTTTGTTTCTGTAACATGGTGGCATTTAGGCAATTCATGGTCCTTAGCGGGTAAAATAAGTATTGAACACGTCAACATTTTTCTCAGTAAATATATTACTAGAGGTGCTAATGAC